AGGCCAGGCACAGTGGCTCACATCTGTAATCCCAACACTTGGGAGGCCAAGGCGGGCAGATCACTTGAGGCCAAGAGTTCCAGACCATCCTGGCCAACATGGCGAAACCCTGTCTCAACTAAAAATAGAAAAATTAGCTGGGTGTGGTGGCACGTGCTTGTAACCCCAGCTACTAGGGAGGCTGAGGCAGGAGAATCACTTGAACCCAGGAAGCGAAGGTTGCAGTGAGCTGAGATCGCACCATCACACTGAAGTCTGGGCAACAGAGCAAGACTGTCTAAAAAAAAAAATGGCTTGCAGTCTTAGATTTAAGTCCTTAATCCATTTTGAGTTGATTTTTTTATATGGTAAGAGATAGGGGTCTAGTTTTGTTCTCGCTATGGATATCCAGTTCTCCCAGCACCTTTTATTGAAGAGACTGCAATTTCCCCAGTGTGTGCTCTTGGCACCTCTGTCGAAAATGAGTTCACTGTAGGTGTATGGGTTTGTTTCTGAGTTCTCTCTTCTGTTCCATTAGTCTGTGTGTCTGTTTTTATACCAGTACCATGCTGTTTTGGTTACTATAATTCTATAGTATAATTTGAAGTCAAGTAATGTGATTCCTCCAGTTTTGTTCTTTTTGCTTAGGATAGCTTTGGCTATTCTTGGTCTTTTGTGATTTCATATAAATTTTGTTTTTTCTATTTCTGTGAAGTTGTCATTGGCATTTTGATAGGAATTGCATTGAATCTGTAGATTGCTTTGGATATTACGGATATTTTAACAACATCGATTCTTCCAACCCACAAACATGAAATATCTTTCCATTTTTTGATGTCCTCTTCAATTTCTTTCATCAGTGTTTTATAGTTTTCATTATAGAGTGCTTTTACTTCTTTGATTAAGTTAACCCTTTTCCCTTTTGCCCCAAGAATACTTCCCAGCAGGGCTTGTGGCTGCAGTATTTATCCTGAAATAACTTTGCCACAAAATATCTTGCTTTTATTATTATTTTCACATCAACTCTAATCTATCAACTTTGGGAACAAAATTGACATATTAGACTTCACTGAGTTCAAGTGATCCACTACCACCACTGAAAACAGTGCTGTAAATAGAATAATGTACTAGATATCATTCCATTTATATTTCCATTATAGTGGTATTTCTATTTACAAAATATGGTAATTCTTGACCACTGAAAATGTCAAATCCTAGAGAATGTGGCATTCCATGTGTAATGTTAACATTGTTCTCAAACAGTTGTTGGCCAGAGATTCATTTGATGAATCTGATTTTTCTGAAGTAGATGATTCTGATGATTCAGATGATTCTGATGTTAGTTCTGTTTGGTAACAACTTCAAGAACAGTTTTTCTGTTTTATTTTAATATTGAAAAGCAGATTTGCTTCAGCCTCAAAGAGCACGATCATATTAAATGAGCATTGGCAGCAAGCTGCACTTGTTTTTTGTAAATGAGAAAAGAATTAAAGAGAAATATTGTTTAATGTTTACACATTAGCCCCTAGTCACATTGTGTGAAAATTAGAAAAAGAATTTTTCCAGCTGGGCACAGTGGCTCACTCCTGTAATCCCAGCACTTTGGGAGGCTGAGGCAGGTGGATCACGAGGTCAGGAGCTCAAGATCACCGTGGCCAATATGACGAAACCCTGTCTCTACTAAGAATACAAAAATTAGCCAGGTGTGGTGGTTTGCGCCTGTAATCCCAGGTACTCACAAGCATGAGGCAGGAGAATCACTTGAACCCGCGGGGGTGGAGTTCTCAGTGAACCGAGATCATACCACTACACTCCAGCCTGGGCAACAGAGCAAAACTCTGTCTCAAAAAAAAAGGAAAAAAGAAAAA